GTAACAGCGTTATATAACGTGTAGTTCCGAATGGTGTATAGAAGTGGTCAGTAGATACATTCACCAGTCCATACCCCGTCTATAAATCACGCATTAAAAGTCGCACATGGATCTCACTGGGGCTGAACCGATGCCTCGTCATTGAGAAGCCGGCGACTAACCGCCTGATTCAGAGCTGGCACTCACAAAATTGCAGTGCCGTGTTTCATGTTTGTAAAGATGTACGTGTATACCCAGAGGAATTTCATATCAAGCGATACTTCTGGGCAACTAAAAGGATGTTTCCCGAATACATTTCCATTTATGAAACATACACGGACAACATAACAAACAAACAAACAAACCATCTCATCCACACATTCATGCGAGGAATGCAGTGTTCCACTGGAACCTCGTAAACACGAGCCGTAGCAGTAGAAATGCGATGCTTTCAGAGTGAAAATGTTTTTTCACGGTTACCATATAGGCATATAACTCCCTCCGCCCCTAGGCCCCCCTCCTTTTTTGTTATACAGAAAGTTGCTGAAATTAAATGTGATGCTGTTGTTTTAGTACGTCCAGGGATGGGTACGTGTGCCCATAATCAGGGGTGTACAGTCTTTTTCATTGCGAATCATGGGCTTGAAGTCTCTAGAACCGCGCAGTTGATTTCGGTGGGTTTTGGTGGGTTTCACTAAGGCAGAAAGGTCACGCGATAGCGTAGTTTGTTGAGGCACTGTGCTACAAGCCCGAAGGTCGCGGATTCGATTCCTAATGAGACCATTAGAATTTTCAGTCAACCTAATAAGGCTCCGAGCCACACTGTGACCCTCAAATCAACTCAGCCTCTAACAGAAATAAGTACCAGGAATCTTCCTGGGTGTAAAGGGCGGCCAGCGCGTAAGGATGACAACCTTACCTCTATCTGTGAACCGATTGTCTAGAAAATGTGGGAGCCTCGACGTCTCACAACCCTATGGGCCTCTACGGCCTGTTACAGGGATAGCTTTACCTTTTACCTTTTTACATTTATATTTCGGACCACCACATAAAAAGCGAAAACAGGCGGATGTGGGAGTGCATGTGCCCTAAGAGAGTCTGATGCTGCCGTGATCATCGAGGAAAAGATCATCAGAAGGATCCAGAACTACAAATAAATAAAATTGTAATAACAAAAATACAGAATTGACCAATATTGTTCTAAGTTTAAACTATTTCAAGTTATTGTATCTCAATTTAATTGAAACGAAGGTAGCTCTATAAAAACAATTTTAAGTCTTATGCAAAATTGAAATGCCCTTGTATTGCGAATAACCGATAGCCTTCGGATAACCAGGACAAATATAGTTTGCAGTACTTGTTTAGTCTTATAAGTAAAGACCTAAGTTATAACCAACAACACGACCTTGCCCAGTTTTGAACACTGTCCAATGGAGGGGGAATAGAGAAAGTTGAGAAGGAATGTACTGCCTGATGATGGCCAGAAATAGTGGCCGAAACATGTCGTAATGTAGACACCGTATATGTTGTGACATTGGTAAAGTTGGTGGGCGCCCCCCGTTCCTGACAGCAACTATACGCCGACAAACTATCCATAACAATTTCACAGCAACTTTCAACAAATTGTGGTGACTTCCCGTCCGGCATTAATTGCCGCCTCTACCATATTTGTGGCCCCTACAAAATGCAGCGACGCTGAACGGCAAACGTATCGAGTTCTTCTTTAATAAACAGTGAGACTGTGCTGCTTGCCAGTGGATTGGAAGAGTCGGTCAGCCTATGTCGTGGCCCCCAAGGAATCCTGACTTGACGCCTTGGGGCTATGCAAACGGCACTGTGTATCAGAAGCAAAGTAATGGAGGCTACTGATGGCGCAGCGTTAGTAGCAACAGTGACACCTGCTGACCGCCGCGAGGACTACGCTCTAATATCGTCTTGAAGTTTGCAGGCTTGTGAACGAAGCCCACATCTAGTTGCACAGAGCGCTACGCTATGTTCGCTACGTACGCTACGTTGGCTGTGTACACTCTGCGACGCAGGTAACATAGGGAACATAGCGTACGTAGCGTACGGAAGTCTGTGTGGCTAGTCACATTGGCAGTAAAGGGAGATATTTTTCTGTTCGTATAGCGAACATAGCGTACGTAGCGCTCTGTGTGGCCGAACCTTAATCGTTATCTTACCGACGTCCCGTGTTGCCATTTTTGAGCTTCTTTAATTCGTAATGAAGCCTACACAATGCCAGGCGTCATGCATAGTGCGATTCTATCTCCACGATCGCCTGTCCTTTGCATCAATGCAAAACCTCCGGAGGTCTTTCTCGTTCACTCCGTATGTGTAAAGTAGCAAAAAGAAAACTCCGTGGCCTGTAGCCCGCAAGCGAACTATATTGACCGAGCGACTGCCGCTTGTTGGCGAAGTTAGTGCCAACTTTTGCGGATAGAGGGTGTCACGTGGTCAACGCAACGGATCCCCACGGCCGTTAATCTCGGTTTTCTAGACCGGAGCCGCTATTTCCTTGAAATAGCGGCTCAGTTATCCTCACGAGGCTGAGTGGACCCCGTTCCAGACCCACTACTTCTCAGGAAATCTGGTAGCGCCGGGAATCGGACCGGGTTCTTCTGGATCTGTAGGTAGGAACCCTGACGTCTAGACCACAGAGTGTATAAAGTACATCCTTTTTTTTTTAATTCATTCCCCTTCCACGTTCTGTTGAGGACCCTCTTAGCTGGTGTAAACAGCAGTTAGTAGAGGACCTCAGAAACACGTGCGCGAGGGACACAACATGAACCCGGGACTGCAGCCAGAATACCCCCTCTTTACATGGATCGGGGACGCCATTTCACATTTCTGCAAAACGAATCATCGTGCAGAGATCTGCATCTGTGATCTTATGAGGCATGGCTCCATGTAATATGGTACGTGGGTACCAAACTATACGGCGTCGCACCACACAAGACTCTACTCCTGATACTGCTGTGAGAACATCGCCACTTTTATTTGAAACATTTCAAAATTCGGTTCGACAGAGGTGTCTAGTCAAGTCTTATTGAAGTTAAGTATGTAAGCATAATTGTAATTCGTTCTTAATCACGTGTGCTTCATGTGACCCAAGTGAATCTGCCGCCACAGAGTAGCACCCATACGTGACATTTCGCGTACGTTCACACCCGCGCTACAAGACTTTCACTTACTGAAAGTTTATGAGTCTCTGCAGCTTATCTGCGTTAGCTGAGACTCAAGGAAGTGCGTGGCTGCTTCTAAATACTTAAGAGTAAGCTCAGTCGGTATAGTGACAGGCTACGGGCTGGACGACCGAGGGTCGGAGTTTGAGTCCCGGTAAGATCAAGAATTTTATCTTCTCTTCGTCATGTAGACCGACTCAAGAGCTCCTATCCAGTGGGAACCAGGGACTCTTTCTCCGGTAAAGCGGCCGGGCCGCGAAGCTGTCGAGTTCAACAGTACGTGGATCTACACATCCACTCCCCCATACGTCTTCATGGCTCAGTGCTCAATTAGTTAAGCACAGGGACAGCTTCATATATACGGTGCATGGGAATGAGGCTTCACGCATACAAGCCATTGGAACAAAGTAAAATTCGGAAGACGGTGCGACCTCAGACGTGTAATAAACGGTGTTACCAACATGGGAGAAGTGGGGGTAGCTCGGGCGGTTTAGTGACTAGGCTGGGCGACCGAGGAATCGGGGTTCGATTCCCGGCAGAGGCAAACATCCACTCTTCTCCATCTGGTGCCGAGGACAAATATGAGAGAAGCCTATACCTCAATGTCTCAGATGTTTTCACGGGTTGGGATTTAGTTAAAAGCACTGAAGTAACGTGTCCTTTGCCAACATGCGAATCAGAATTTAAAAGGTGCGATGTGTGCGTGGGCGGGAGATGAAAGCAGGACACCGAAATTATATAACTTCTCCCTTTGTGAATGGTAGTGTTTGGCGGGTAGGATAGCGTAGTCTGTATAGCGAGTTGATATACTCTGGACAACCGAAGGATCGGAGTTCGAGTCCCGGTAGGATCAAGAATTTTCTCCGCATCGTCCAGACTGACTTTGGGGCCCACCCAGCCTCCTATCGAATTGGTTCCGGGGTTTTTCTCTCTGGGGGTAAAACGGCCTGGGCCTGAAACCGACCAGTCACCTCCAACTAGTACCGAGATGAAGAAAATGTGGATCTGTACATCCATTCCCCCATACGCCTTCATGGCGTAGTGCTTAATTAGTTAAGGACACAGCTTTACGTCTGGCGGGCATGCGCATTGTGTGTTTACTTTCAACAGTTTCATATCGAAACGGCGCTTTTACGATGCTTGTGTTGCTTGTTATATCCTGAGAAACGGAATGTCCAGAACCAAGTTAAATATGTAATTCATAACGAAAGGAAAGGAAATAGGTCGTTAGGCGTCACTGTGCAGTGTTGCTTCACATCTGCAGTTTGTGAGTGCGTCTGAATTACCCCTCAGAATTTCATTAAGTTCATACCTGAGGCCGCGCCATAGCTCAAGCGGTTAGTTGCTGGCTTCCCACCGCGGCGGCCCGGGTTCGATCCCGGGGTCTTGTCAAGTGGGATTTGTGGTGGACAAAGCGGCGCTGTGGCAGGTTTTCTCCGAGTACTTCGGTTTCCCCTGCCAATCTTCATTCTACCAATTGCTCCACAGGCACCCTCATCTATCATCTGGGGCTGGTACAATAGGCCAGAAGTGGCCGCAGTACAAGGGACTTAGTCCTACCCCTCTAGCAATAAAAACATAAGTTAACACCTGTGTATGTTAACAGTAGATTGATGTATCGAATATTGTTTGGGGCCTGTAGTATGGCTGACAGGATTAGACCAATTGAAAAATTCAGCGACCTCATCGGGAATCTAACCTGCAAACCTTCCTTCTTGTAAGATAATGCATCAACCAACTACGCTGCTGCGTGCCCCAACGTAGTCCTGTCAGAACGCAATTTTATCCGTTTTTTGAGTGGTTTATGAAAATGTTTTATGCTGCTTGTTGTTGCAGGACGTAATGGTGATATAAGGCTGACTGACGATCGAGAAATGGCAGGTGATGATGTGGCTGGACTGTGGACGGGTTACCATAACGCTTTGGGACTCAAGAAATCCACACCTCCGGGCTCCAGAGAACAGTCGGTGAGTACGTCACAAGACTGGGTTGCCGTTGGGAGCTTAACTCTGGACGATTGTGCGGAGAACACGAAGTAAAATTACGCGATGCTGTGGGCATACAGAAGGAATGGGACAAGATGGATGACTCAAACAGTGCTATATTCTTTGTATGTAGAAACAATAGCTGTGACCTTGTTTGATTTGACTTTATGTTTCATTTGTTTCTCCTAATCTTTTAAAGGCCTCTTACGACAAAACCCTGAATAAACCAGTTCGAAACAAACACCCCATTACTCAACCAACCATAATGATACTGGATCTGACATGATATGAATCTCCTTGAGAATGACGTTAATCCATGGCAAAAAAAAATTGTAAATTAATCGTCGAAAACCACGAGAAACCCCGCAAAGTTACACAGACCCCGTGTAGGGCCTCCCGTCTCCCCGCAAGGTAAGTAAAAAAAGTAAAGCTATCCCTGTAACAGGCCGTGGAGGCCCATAGGGTTGTCACACGTCGAGGTTCCCACATCTTCTAGACAATTGGCCCATAGATGGCGGCAAGATTGTCAGCCCTACGCGCCGACCGCCCTTTAACCCCAAGAATATTCCTGGTACTCATTTCTGTTAGAGGTTGAGTCGACCCCAGGGCCACAGTACGGCTGGAAGGATTAGGTCAATTGAAAAAAAAATCCAATGACCTCATCGGGACTTGAACCCGCGACCTTCCGGCTTGTAGCATAGTGCCTCAAGGAACTACGCTACCGCGTGCCCCCTCACAGCAAGGAGGAGGCCGAATTGTTAACACAGTGAGATGGTACCAGGTGACCGGGGCCGCGAACACTTTTCATCTTGTGACAATCCTAAGAAACATTTTTACTCTGGAATCTGCAACCAGCCCTTCACAGGGTCACGAAGTGGAACACTGGGACATTTCTGGAAGACGCNTAAGTGAACGGAGAAGTTCATGGAGGTAGGCCTAGGCCCACTGGGGCTGTAGTGCCAAGGAAAAAAAATGAGCCAAGTTTCACATATTATAATATGTGAAACTTGGCTCATTTTTTTTCCTTGGCACTACAGCCCCAGTGGGCCTAGGCCTACCTCCATGAACTTCTCCGTTCACTTAGGTTTTTCTACTTCTTACATATTCGGTAGGACTCCTTGGGCGGGTGATCAGCTCGTCGCAAGGCCTCTGCCTGTACACAAACACAGAGAAACGCACACAAACATCCATGTCCTGAGTGGGATTCGAACCCACGATCCCGGCTTCCGAGCGAGCGAAGACAGTGCATGCCTTAGACCGCTCGGCTACCGTGACCGGCGGCTCTTTTCTTATTAGTGTAAAAAAAAGGTAGCGTTTTCCCTGTGCTTAACTAATTAAGCACTGCTCCGTCAAGACTTGTGGGGGAGTGGATGTACAGATCCACGTATTCTTGACCTCGCCCCGACCACTTTACTCCCGGTGCCCACTGGGTAAGGGGCTGGATAGGCAGCAGAACCAGTCTGGACGTCGTGGAGAAGGAAAAAATATCTTACCCCTACCGGGACTCGAACTGCAACCATTCGGCCATCTAGCTGCTAGTTGCTCACCTACTCCAGAATATCCCAACATTATATGGAACCCGAAGGTTCACTACCGTGCTCACAAGAGCCCTCCACTGGTCCCTATCCTGAGCCATATCAATCCAATCCATACCACCCCCTCCTTTATCTCTAAGATCCTACCTACATCTATATCTTCCTAGTGGATTCTTTCCCTCTGACTACCTCATCAAAATCCTATATGCATTCCTAGGCGCCCGTATTTTTGCTACACGTCCTACCCATCCCATACTCCTTGATTTGGTCATTCTAATTATGTTTGGAGAAGAGTACAAGTCCTGAAGCTCCTCATTCTGCATTCCTTTCTAACCTCCGTTTATTTTATCCCTTTTCGGTCAAAATCTCAGGACCCTGGTCTCAAGCGACGTATGCAAATAAGGAGAACAAGTTCTCGGCAGGACTTATGATGCCTGTTGTATGTAAACCCTTCCATATATAGGGCGATGTACATGGGTTGCACGCTGTGCGTAGTTGGTTAAGGCATTATGTTACAAGCCGGAAGGTCGCGGTTTCGAGTCCCGATGAGGACATTAGAATTTTCAGTCGACCTAATCCTTCCAGCCGCACTATGGCCCTGGGGTCTACTGAGCCTCGCAAAAATGAATACCTGGAATCTTCCTGGGGTTAGAGGGCGGCCGGCGCGTAAGGCTAACAACCTCACCATTATCTGTGAGTAGGCTCTCTAGAGAAAATGTGAGAACCTCGACGTCTCACAACCCTATGGGCCTCCATGGCCTGTTTCGCTGTTAGCCTTACCTTATTTTTTATATATAGTCAGATTTGATGTGACTGTAGACGGGGTTTCTATTGGATATCGGATTTATTGACCACTTGTACATACAACTCGTAAGTGCAAGTAATTACAGTGCCGCCGCCAATGTCCACAATTCACATACCACCACAGCACTTGGTAAGCCTTTTCCAGCCCGTTCCGCGTCTTCACCAGCCGTTCCCTGCCAACGGCTTCTAACAGTGGACATTAAGATCTTCACGCGCTCAGGTCCTCTCTTCGCAGACTCCCGTCCAGAACTGAACTGAACGGAACCGAATCCTCTTCTTTCTTGTAACATCTCGGCACGAACCACGTAGGAACACCCCGCTTCCAACAATAAATGTATTGTTGCTGCGGGAACGTGTTTACCGAGCCGTTACCCAGATACGGTCGTTGGCGAATGTGTGTGCACTGCAGAATCGTAGGTTGGCATTTCTCCTACAAAGCCTGTAGATTTCTAGATCACATACGCCTATTGCATGAGTACAGTAGTTCATCGCATTTCATCTTGTTCTGTCCGGATACCAGAAAACCAGAAATATCGCACGTTCTGCTGGTCGCCTTCCCCNACCCCCGGTCTCCTGGGCCCCCCCCCCCCCCCCCCCCGGTCAGGTGTGACCGCGACAGCTTGCAGATCTTTTAAAGCGTGTTGTAAGATTGTGAGCTTAAAACCGAAAGATTTTTACCTAGGATTCCGAGGCTGTCATATTTGGTAGGCAGACGCGTGTTCTCTGACGCCGTAAAGTTTGGTCTCAGTAACTTCTGCTAGACACGCCGCCCCGTCTATCAGCTTCGCTAAGAACACATTACCATAGTTACGAGTATTTTCCGTCACGTTAGACACATTGCAATTTATTTGTTTGGCCAGCCTGTTAGACCTTTTGTAGGATTTGGCTCTGTTTGTCGCCTGCTTTCACGCTGAATTCTTGCTCGGCTTACAATTTTTGGCCCCTGAAGATGGAGGAGATATGTTCCTTCGAAACGTCGATTTACTTTCAAATGACTGCAGGGCGTTAATTTAAGCTGAACTAAAAAGAAAACGCGTAAGGGGAAACCAAAGATTGGAACAAGAGGTTAGAAAGCCATTACACAGAAGGAAGGACATGGGAAGAAACTGAGATAGATGGCGAGGCGTTATTGCTAGAGGACCCACAGAAGGTTCAGACACAGGGAAGGAGGAAGGAAAAGAAGACAGCGATGAAGATGGCTTAGTTTAAGGGTAGACTGAACAGTATATTTAAGGGTTAGCCATAGGGAACTGAGGATGAGGTTCTTGGGACTTGGATGTGGGGATTTGGAGGAAGTGTTGCCACATCCAGCGCTAAGGGTCAGGAAATCAGTTGCTGATGGACTTTTTATTACCTTCATACACAACGCTTGCTTAATTCTCGCTTGACCTTGCTACAGCCATTTTTTATGAAGAGCCTTCTGCTTGCAAAATGTGAGGCATTCGACTCAACGAATTATTTAAAAATAAGTGGCATTTTACTTTGGTATCGGTATAGCGACTGGCTACGGGCTGGACGGCCAAGTGTGTCAGAGTTCGAGTCCCGGTAGAGTCAAGAATTTTCTCCTCTCCATGTCGTCCAGGTTGGTTCTGGGGCCTACCCAGCCTCTTTCACCGGCGGTAAAGCGGCCGGGGCGTAAAGCTGCAGTGTCACCTCCAACTAGTGCCGAGATCGAGTATATGTCGAGCTATACATATATACCCCNCCCCCCCAAACGTCTTCATGGCATAGTCCTTTTAGTTAAACACAGGGACTTTACTTTTGTCTTACTTTTTATATGGATCCTGTATTTTAAGAACAAATGCATATTTTACAATTTGAGAGCTTTATCTTGAAATACTTTGCATCAGACCTGTTCATACAGATTCCTGGTGTGGTATGGGGTCTTATTTGGGTCCATAAGGGAATATGTCACTTACAGACTTGTAAGACTTTTGGGAACGTCAGTGACCTGATCATCATGGGGCTTGTCCCCATTTTGTGACTGAACTTTATGGAGTTATGAGTCTCATCTGTAGTGAAGAAAATCTGTATTCTGTCTGAACTATTCAATAACATCTGATTCTGCAGCATAATTATGTCATACATGTACACCAGCTGACATATCTCGTATTTAATGTTGACAGTATTTTTGGGAGTTGCCTTCTTCCCGTCCTCAGAGGACTGATTGTTGTCATACTGACATTTAATTATTTTAGTTTTTTTATTAGTGTTCCAAGTTTCATCTTAATTCCAGCTGCTGACATTATATACGAGGGGGTACCCAAAAGAAACCGAACTAATTTTTTTTAAACTTATTTATTCAAATTTTAAGCACAAACCTTCAATCCCCTTCAAAGTACTCTCCACTTACACTAATACACTTGTCTAGTCTTTTATTCCATTTTTCAAAACATTGTCTAAATTCATCTTTTGAGATGCTTGACAGCGCCTCCGTTGTTTTTTTCCTTCACCTCAGCAACATCAGCAAAACGCTGAAAAAAAGTTTTGATCATTTCGGGACTCTTCTTTCAAAGCACAGCATGCTTCCACGCGACCTTGTTTTTGTTCAGCAGTCAGCAGTCGTGGCACGAATTTCGCAACCACCCTTTTCATTCCCAAATCTTCTGTCAAAATTCGCTGAACTGAGCTCCAAGTCAATCCCGACAGCTCCAAAATTTCTTCAATGGTCCGCCGTCGATCTTCCTTGATGATTTCACGAATTTTTTCAACATTTTCATGTGTTCGGGCCATTGGAAAAACGATCATACATAACAGTTGTCACTATAAACTCTGCCGAAACTAGTCCTTACCTTCTGAAGCAACGGTAGTCGGCTTATCGGCTCAGGAATGTTAGCTCTATGCGCTCATAGCGGCAAAACGCGGTACTACAAAAGCTCTGCCCACAAAAAAATTAGTTCGGTTTCTTTTGGGTACCCCATCGTATATGATTAAACATAAAAAATGTACGATATCTCAGATCCTCACAGCAATGCCTATAAAGAATACTGAAATCTGGTATATGATATACATACTCCCTCCATCTTCACGGTTGGAGAGTAAGTTGGGCAAGCAGAGTGGTTGTAGCTTTGTTTGCTTGGCTTATTCTTTGACGCTGAAGATAAAGGCAGTATGTCCCTGCAAGTGCTGATGAACTTCTACCAAATTACAAGGCATCAAACAAAGTATTTATCTTTGAGAAGGCCGATAGACAACTTCCTATCTTTCAATTGTTTCATGATATGTACCAATTATTGCTATGAACAGATGAGCTAGCCTTCACCTCTGCCATGGGTGGGAAAACTTTCACAGTTTATCGCACTTAAGGCAGCATCTACACAAGCACACAAAATGCGTCTGTTGTAATGAACGTACATTGCTGAGGACACCACACAGTTGCAGAATGCGGTGTGTAGTTTCATTGCAGACAAAAAACTACGTACCACAGTCTGCAACCATGTGGTGTCCTCAGCAAAGTACATTCGTTGCAACATACGCATTTTGTGTGCTTGTGTAGATGCTGCCTAACTCTATCTGCAGTGTTTCTTAAGTACTCTGAGATAAGTTACTTTTTCACCATTCTGAGGAGATGGAGTTCCACATGAATTTTGATGTTTTAAAACATAAATTGACGTTTACTCTTCAGGAACTGAGATCTTTGTTTATTTATGTTAACTCCAGGTCAGTTCTGATCAAATGGCCGAAGTTGTGGTGATTGCAATTGACTGTTGTGAATAAATGAGCAAACAGTTAAATTCTGTTATATATTCATATATCATTGGGGACCATGTGGTCTTGGGTTATGTGAGTTCTGAGTCTGATTCCTGCTCAAAACTGTGTGCAGATTTTTCTGCGCACAGACTAAAACCTTTACTTTTGGAATGTGATGAATACCTATTCCTCCCATATGATTTGGAGCCCAAGTTAAACTGTAGGTTCCATCTACCAACCATCACTCCACCCTGAAGGTGCCCATACTGCAGGAATGGATTCTTCTGGACCCTTGTTGAGGGATGAGCAGGCACCAGCATGCCTGGAGATACTAGAATCAGCTGTTGGAAACATCCTTGAGGGTATGTCATGGCCTGTGTAGGCAGTTTTACAGAAGAGAAGCCCCGTGTATCAGCAGGATCTTCCTGCTCTGTGTTGAAAATATGATGTAGGAACTCACTGATGATGACATAAAGGTCTATCCTGCAAGATGTTGTAGACCCAGTATGCATGTATGAGTTGTACTTCTCTGAAATTCTAGAGCCCACTACTTCTAGCCCAAGAGACTGGCTCAGCCCATGATGAAACATCGTCCAGCGGAAACAAGGAGGATGAGGATGACGATGAGGATGAAGGGGAAGACAAAATTGATCCGCAACAGTATGACCCAGAGCGCCTCAAGGCTTTCAATGTGAGTAATACCAGAAACTTCATTTGGGCTTAGAAACTGGGAAGATGTGATTGGTCTTCCAGATTGATGCTTGCTGTCTTGAAAGACATAACTAGGTGAGGTTAATTTCACTTTAAAGTAGTAACACATGTCTTGGGCAGACAACATAATTTTTATTAATTAAAGATGAATTGTTCATGGGTAAGTGTCTCATAACAAGCCCTTTGTGGTAATTGGGACGTAGGGTCTCCACGTACTGTGTGTTATGATCCAGATAGAGTGTGCCACCATAACTGTAAGTATTGTGCATTGCCACAGATAGTGGGCAAAATGGCTGTCACCTCAGTTCTTTCATAGCATGTTTTTGGGAAGCAATTTTATATAGAAGCTAATTGTTACTATAGAAATCAAAAGATTAGGGCATAAAATTTGTAATTCTGCTTTGTGTCAAAACTGGGCAACAGCAGTACACTTATACAGACAAGATAGGGAGCATATTTGATTATAAACAAGATAGAACCTATCAAGATACATATCAAACAAACAAACAAACAAACAAGTTTTGAAGCTGAAATATTAGTGCTAGTCCATCCATATAGAAATTCATGTTGATCTTTACATGTCTGCCCACTATCACAGCTTCAAATTACTGCATTTGTGCTGGAAATCACCCCAGCATGCTTTCTCTGATGAAGCACAACTTTTATTTATAACCAAGAAAGCTAATTTTCACGTTCATCGTTCTTTGAAAGTGGTCATCCATGAGAAATGTTGCTAAAAAAATTGTAACTTCTATAAACATTTCTGACTTCTCTGTGAGAAACAGAAAGACAGAGCAAACTTTAATATTGATTCTAGGTTAATATTTGGAAGATTTCAAATTTAACTGGGGGTGGAGGGGGCAGGTATATCTAAAAACATACATTTTATTACACATATTCATAACCTGTTACCACAGCTGTTGGGCCATTTATCGAATTTCCAACTGCACTTTATCAAGGTAAAACAAAACTCTTCCTATGTCACACCAAGACTTAAATGAGTCATATGCAGTGCAGTACTGCATTTGGAGCTTGAGGGTTAATGGTAACATTTTTTTTTTTAATTTACTGATTATTATTTTCCAGATGTTTGTTCGTCTGTTTGTGGATGAGAATCTGGATCGCATAGTGCCAATATCGAAGCAGCCCAAGGAGAAGATCCAGGCAATAATTGATTCATGTACTCGACAGTTCCCAGAGTTTGCAGAGAGAGCTCGCAAGCGAATCAGGACATACCTCAAATCATGCCGCAGAAACAAGAGGTCCAGGGAGACCAATGGAGCCTGGGATGCTGTAAGGATTGTGAGGATCAAAACCGAAACTACATCCCTAAACTGTCCTATAGTGCCCACCCGGTGTCCTTATGCAACATAGAGATATGGAGCAGGAATCTCCTAATCTCTCATCACACCAGTTTTCCCTAAGGCCAGTTGGTCAGAGTTTTAGCAAAGGTTTAATTCTCTGATATCCATTTATGAGTGTTTTATTGTCTGAACCCCTCCACATTCATTTTAATTTTGGGATTACTGAGTTTCTGGACTTAATCCATTGTCTCATATTCTGAAAGGATACAATGTTTAAAAAACTGGATATTTGTCCATTCTAAGGTGGAAGGGTAGGGGGACACCTGCTCAGTTGAATCTGTTAGAAAGAGCTGATCCCAGTCATTGGCTGAGATGATGGACGAAGCCCTGAATCTAAATGCACCATCATTAGAACCCTCTGGAGTTAACCAGATTATTTTGTTTGAATTTTAATTTTGGCAGACTTGGTCTGACATAGAAGTGGGCTGTCAGAAAATGAGAGAGGGTGATGCTCATAAAGATCATAAATGGATGTTCCCATATGGCCTGAGTGCGCTGCATACTTCTCTTAACACTACCTTGCATGTGCAACTACAGGAATTCCCTTCATTTGGAACCTCTCACATAGACTCACACTGTTCTGTATTGATTGACACATTGTACCATTCATTCATTCTGATTGTATTCCATAGAAATTCCATCTGGTGGCAGAGCATTGCACTGTCTGCTCCAAGCCTCGACTGTTCACTGTTCTGTTGAGAAATGTTAATGCAAAATGGTACTCTTTATGTAATCTCACATTTTTCATGTCTGTGAGTTGTTAATAGAAGACAGTTTTTAAATCTGTAGCATTCTAATTCCGGAAATGCTTGAATTCAAGTTTGTTGATTTGAAATTGGAAACATTTGGCCATTATTGCATTCTTGTCTAGTGGCAGATAAAGTGATGTCCTTGTTTCATTGTTTGCTACTGCCAGAGTCAAAGAGAGAGAAATATGTTTCCTCCCACCATGGTTCAGACTGTGCCCTGCCCATCACCAGTTCTGTCAGTATCAATAAGTGGAATTCTGCCCTTACCAGGAGGGCAGAGGACCATTAGTATAGGTATTAGAAAGACAGCATTTTCTTGATCCCCCAATTCTGAATAGAAAAGATACAGATAAACTGTCACATGTATGAATGTGACTATAGATGGATTTTGATTGGTGACATACACACTCAAGTAATTACAATGCTATCGCTAATCCACACATTTTGCAAATCACACATTAAGTCTTCTCAATTTCCTTTCACTAATCATTTCCCAGTAACGGATCTTAACACTGGATATTCTTCAGCTTCATGTGCTGAAGTCCTCTCTTCACATACTCCTTTACAGAACTGACTTTCAAACTAACTTTGTCCTTGCATATTGTTATGAAACATGTTTCCATTGTCACAGTCCAACTGTTGCATTATTAGAAGGCTGTTGCGTGGCAGTGGGAACTTATTTACTGAGCATTTCCCCAGAAATGGGTCTAGCATATCTGCCCCTCTTGCGATCATTGCATAACGAGCTGTTTCTCTGCCTCCATAGTTCTTGCTTTCAGCAAATAAGCCACAGTACTTTTATGTTTATGATGTGTGTTGGCACAGACACGGCCCACGCCTGCACATCTTACCTCGGTGCAGGCAGAGCAGATCCTGGCTCAGGCTTGTGAGAACGAAAGTCACAATGCCAAGAGAATGCGCCTGGGCCTTGAGCCTGTCAGTCAGCCACTACCTCTGCTGCCATCCACCACTGTAAGTACAGAAACTCACTGACTTCAATATGAATTAAACATGTATTATAAGAATAAGTGACTTTATAATTTGCACATGTGTACAACAGTTAGGCTAGATGTTTCTGAACAAATTGTTTGAAAGGCCAAAGATAAAAGTGAAGCTCTCTCTGGAACCAAAGCCTGAGTTGTGTGCATTCACGACGTCAGAACAAGGTGAAGGTGAGTGGTCAGTTTCACTTTCTGGTAGTTTTACTGTGGATGAAGTAGCTCATGATACTTGTGGGCCAGAAGTCTCTTTGAGTATCACTGTGGTTTCAGCATGGGAACAGAAAAGTTTCTGACACTACAGGAGTCCATGCATGGGATTCCAGCCCATAATCAACCATTCTGCTGAATGAACTAAGTCTTTTATCATTGTTTGGAAAGTACCACAAATACTGTAGGAAATATACCATGTTCAGAGTGCAGGCTGCTTGAACATTGATTTTATTACCATTGGCAGCTTCTTGTGAAAGCCGCGAAAAATGCTGCCACACAGCCAATATGGCTACCACACATTGTTTACTTCTTTCATTTATTAGTAATAAAATATAGTAACTAATATTTTACTCACCATCATAGAAGATGTTCAAAATGTCTACCCTCTGCTGTGAGACATGTCTGAATTCCTTTAAACAGATTCTGGTAAACCTGTTGCAATTCACGTTGCTGAATGTTGTTCTGTCATCCCCATGTACGTAGTTCACCAAACACACTGCGTAATGCTCAGGTAGTTTCCTTAGTTGTGTGTGGAGTCATGCTGTCTTGCATAAAATAACCGACTCTTTCTTCTGCAGGTGCCAAATTAACGAAAAATAGATTGAGTATTTCATTAATGTATTGTTGAGCATCAAGAGTTCCTTCATAAAATATCAGTCCAATGATACGGTTTGTGTTAATCGCACACCATTTGCCTATCTTTTGGTCATAAAGAAGTTGAATTAGGACATGAGGATTTTGACTACTCCAATACCTGTTGTTTTGCAAGTTAACATATCTTGAGAGATTAAAATTAGCCTCATCTATAAAAAATGTCAGCTTAGGATCAGGAAGTTCGTCATGCACATGACTGATAAACCAATTACAAAACCTCACTCTTCTTTCATAATCTACAGGTTTAATTTCAGGAATAACAGTAATTTTATACAGACAAATATGCAACAGTTTAGTTGCTGTCCACTCACTGCCTACAGAAACACCACTCTGTTGTGCTAATTGCCGCAAAGAGTGTAGAATTTTCTAATCGGTGACCGATGTCATCAAGTTTTCCTCAGTTAAAACACAATTCTTTTTAATGGCTTTCTGTTAATTAAAATGCCGTGGATTCAAACTTAATTTGGAAATTGTATCTTTAGATGGACATGTTGTGTGGCAAAATGACAGTGAAATTTTCTCCTGCATGATATGTATGAGTTCTTTTGCATAAGATTTAAATGAAAACTCTTTGTCCTAAATTGTATATTGCACAATCCATAAAGNTCTGCTTAGTGCATGATGTCAGAGCTTGACATTTGCCCATTTCATATCAGTCTGATTGTCTGAGGGTCTGTACTGAAATTTAAAATGAATGATTGTCAGTTCATTATACAGTATGTCTGCAAAGTCCTGTCGGGGTTTTGAAAAATTGTGGCGCACATACAAATTGAGCTAGCCACATGCAGTTTGCGGCACATCATAGTGAAACTCTTAGAAGTTTTTTACTGACCTCAGTAGACCTCGATGTGTGCTTTACTTGGTAGCACGGAGAATGTCCAGACAGTATGCGAGCTCTTGCCATGTTCTGTGCAGCATGTCCACTGGAATAGCCAAGATCGCATTCCTGATACCGGTCTTCAGGTCATCAAGTCCGTTAACTGGTGTTCAGAACACACTGCTCCTGACTTAACCCCACAGGAAAAAATCCGCATTCCTAGACAGGACATTTCCAGGAAGATGGATCGGTAGAGACGGTCCAATGCCTTGGCCTCCATGTTCACCTGACATAACACCACTAGATCTTTTCCTACGGGGTTATGTCAAGAGCAGTGTGTTCCGAACACCAGTTAATGGACTTGATGACTTGAAGACCCATATCAGGAATGGCAAGAGCTCGAATATGGTCTGGACATTCTTCTTGCCACCAAGGGAGCCCATATCAAGGTCTACTAAGGTCAGTAAAAAAACTTCCAGAGTTTCATTCTGATCTGCTACAAACCGCACATGGCTAGCTCAATTTGTTTGTGTGCCACAATTTTTCAAAACCCCGACAGAACTTTATGGACACACTGTAATAACCCTGCATGAAGTTGGAGCCACATTTTATGAAAGTCCTATAACTTCTATTGGACTAATAATATATTTATATGTATAATAACTTTTCTCATTCAGTAAAAGGGGATTTTAAATCTCCTGGTGTTGTGGTTTCAGCAGGTTGATTTTAGCTCAGGAGTACCAGTACCAGTATTGATGAGTGTGAAGCTCAGCCTACTGGCCACGTGCATATATCACTGCGATAATGAAATGCATGCCCTTTGAAAGGTAACAAGGAAAGAGTTGTGCAGTATCATCTGTGCTGTTGCTGTCATGCTCCATAAGCAGTTGATTCCTTTGAAGCACTGTCTGCACTGAAAGTCAAGTTTACCTGCCTGTTTGTGGTCCATGTGAATGATACATAGTTTCTCCAGAATCATCACCATCGTTATTGTCATCAGGATGAGAAGAACTGAATGAGTCAATTTTTCTGCTTTAGACCGACAGTCGTCCAGCATCCATGGACCACTACTCATCTCCTGTTGTGGTGGCGACCGAAGCAGCGACTAAACCTACCCTCTCTACCACTGCCACCCCCACGATCAAGTCTGAGCCCCCTTCACTTCATCCTGTAGACGCAGGTCTGTCACCAGCATTCAGCCCCGCAGCTTCCGTGGGCACCAAGAACACCGTGTCCTCTGTTGATGCAATGGTATGTCCATCACCAAGTACTGTCTTCTTATGTTTTAGTTGTGCCTGATATCAGCTGAAAATGTCATGGACTTTAGGAAATCCACTGACTAAAAGTGGGGATTAAAGGGGCATGTGTCATAAGCATGAGGAGGATCAGGTCAAAAGTTCCTTAATTTCAGCCCATTACCCTTATGTTTATCAGTACTTTATTCAGAAAGCTATACTGTAGTTCACATCACACATATATACCAGCAGTAGGCCAGAGGAGCAAATATGTTCATAGTTCTCTGTTTTTTCTGTTTGTGGAATCTGAGCAGTTGTAAACTTAAGAAAATCATTCTTGGGGTGTAATGTTGGTGTCAGATTGCAGCACTTTTCAGACAGACTGTGTCCTTCTGCATTAAAATTACATTTTATTTTCATAATAGAAGACCCAATCTGTTGAAAGAAAATGTGTAAACCATCAAGTCATTCAACAGATATCGCGATTTTGTGAAAGTCATAAAAAAGTGTGCTTGAAGAGGGAAGTAACCATACACAAAATATCAGAATTTCAGTTTTTAATCAAGACAGTTTGGAAGAATCTAGTCATACACGTAACTGCAGCAGGATGTGATAAATAATTGCTGGTTGGAAGAAACAGTGCTCGTGATTACTTGGGTGAAATCATATTAGGGGCAAAATGTGCATTAGTAAAAAGATACCGGAATAAGTTGATAGTGCCTTTGAAAGTCACATGGAGGAAAGAAGGGTATGCCATTAGAAATTTTTGTTTGTTTATTTTATTTATTAATTTATTTATTTTTAATAGCTCATATTATATAGATCTGAATTACATTATATTACATTCCTTGGATCCAAAATTAGTCAAAATGACTGTAGGATGTGGAATATGTCATATAAATACAAAAACATAGCATACAGTGCAACTGAAGTTTTCACAAAGAAACCTAAAGAAACAGTGGTTATACATGAGGCTGTTCAAAAATACATTCACATGTATACATCAATACTGTCAACTCACGCTACTTGCACGAGCTTTAAATGGATGAGTCATTCTTTAGTATTCATCAACAGTATAGAAGGAGTGTGTGTTTAAGTATCGTTTTAGTGCTATATTAAATCATGCTTTTCTATTCATAAGATTTTTGAGATCAGAAGGCAGATTATTGAACTTTTGATCCCAGCATAATATGTGCTTTTCTGAAAGCATGAGAAATTAGCAGTTGGTTCATGGAGATAGTGCTTGTGACTTGTGTTAACACTATGTACATCTGCATTGGTCTGGAAATGTTTTTCATTATTTGTAATGCAGTTTGTTAATGAAATTGAAGAGCTAAGATATCTTGTCTCTTCTAAAAGAATTATGGGATTTGAAGCCCATCATGATACTGACAATTTCCTTTTTCAATGTACGAGGTGTGTTCAAAAAATGACGGGAATTTCCGTATTTTGGAAAAAATATTTATTCATTCGTCTACATTAATGTTGTCGCCTTCAAAATAGTCCCCATTCGATATTATGCACTTACGCCAGCGCTTCTTCCAATCATCGAAACACTTCTCAAACTCGATTTTTGGGATAGCCTTTAGCTCTTTCAGCGATGCGCTTTTAATGTCATCTATGCTTGTAAAACGACGGCCCTTTAAGGTTCTCTTTATTTTTGGAAATAGGAAAAAGTCACACGGAGCCATGTCTGGCGAATATGGAGGCTGGGGCATCGTTACAGTATTGTTTTTGGCCAAGAATTCACGAACAAGCAACGAAGTGTGAGCAGGTGCATTATCGTGGTGCAAAAGCCATGAATTGTTTTTCCACAAATCCGGGCGTTTTTTTCGGATTGCCTCACGCAAACTTCTCTGATTGTGATTCGGCGATCATTCATAATCATTGCTTTCACTTTTTCCACGTTTTCATCGGTTGTTGATGTGCTGGGGCGTCCGGGGCGCTCGTCATCTGCAACGTCTTCACGGCCATCTTGGAAACGCTTATACCACTCGTAAACTCTTGTTTTACTCATAACAGACTCACCATAGGCCTTTGTTAACATTTCACACACTTTGTAACACTTTATTTCATTTTTTACGCAAAATTTGATACAAATTCTTTGATCCATTTCTTTTAACAAACGAAAATCGCCAAGCTCATAAAAACACGTCTAACCTTAGCGGCTGCCACAGACAAAGTAAGCAATGAATACAGCTGAAAATTTTATTGTACTTCAGGGGCATGTATACCAACATAATAAAAAAAAAAATTTGACAATTGGACTCTCCAAACCCGCGAAATTTTAAAATTCCCGTTATTTCCTGAACACACCTCGTAAATACCCGTTTGCTGTTGAATTATTCCATACTTCATTAAAGAGCAAAAGTAAGCAAAATAAATTGATTTGAGAGTGTCAGTGTAGCTGATATGCAACATAGATCTAACTATATAAGATGCTCCACTTAGGCTTTGGAACCAACTGACTGATACGATTTTTCGAGTTTAAATGGTTATCAACTTGTGAGCCAAAGGAATTTTGTGTTTACTGTCTCTTCCATACATTTATTATTATATCCTATGTTTAATGAATATTGCTAGTTTTGTGTTATAAATTTTATTGCATGTGTTTTATCTATTCAGGAATGAGCCTGTTTGCAGAAAACTGTTTACTCATTTGAGAGAGAACTTTGTTTGACAGTATGCGGAAGTCATCTAAATTTTTACTAGAAATTATAATACTAGTGTCATTAGGAAATATTATGGGTATCGATGAGGTATTTAGTGTAGGAGGCAGGATTTATGGCACTATATCAATATTTTCCTGAGGGACTGAGGAACATCGTGAGTTAGCACAGTCAATCTCACAGCCAGGATTTGAGCCTCCCAGATACAAAGCTTAAGGCGATGCCCCGCTGACAGTGATATTTAATGTAAAGAATGTACACACATTTAATACTTTTGAGGGAGCAATGCTCAAGTATTTATTTAACTTTGTTGGTGCAATGTAATCATACTATATACATAACATTTGAAACTCTGGGCATATGGAAGTGAAGCCTGCATGATTAGAAAGGCTAATGAAAGAAAATTTGGCATTAAAAATGGAATTTGTTATACATTATTAGATCCATAAATGAAATGAAGACGTTTTTAGAAAAAATTAAAAAATCAGTGAATGATGTTTTATACAAAATGACTAAAGCAACTGGAAATGCATGCAACACATAGAAAGCAACAGATTTTAGCAAACCAAAGCCTAGGGGAAAGATAAGTTCAAGAAGATGGCTGAAGAGATGGAACAGTTTCTGTTGAACATAACTGCTGTCTTCTTTTGCTTTCTCCTTTTTGTGTGGCATATTGTGATGCGCTAATGGGCAAAGATGATGATGCAGAGTTGTGTAATCAGTTGCCGCTAGGAAGACGGTTCCATGTTCTTGGGAGACAAGCATTTCTTGCAATTTAAAATAATTCATATGGCCTCATCAGTAATTTGCACCTGTGAATGGTTATGCCATCTCTTCAGGATATGGTTGCTTTCCTTGTCATGTCACAGGAAGTAGAACTTAACAGAAGGAATAACATTTAGATTCTTTTTAATTAATGTCAGTCATCACATATTTGGTTCCTAGTAGAAATGCAAAGCCATTAAAATAGCAGTTTCTTGACTTTGGCACCAGGGCCATACTGAACAATTCGTTGTTAAACATTGTTATGAAACACTGTAACCATTAGCTTATACACCCTGCACTTTCATTGGTTTCATGCATCATAACAGTTAACTGATACACCCACACATGTGTTTTTGGAAAAAGAACAGAACAGGTTCCATAATGATGGAAATGAACAAAAAATAACCTTGTCTTCCCAAGAAATAAATATACCACAGTGTTGGCCTTAAAATAAAATTCTGAAATTCATCTGCATGGATAGAGTATGCAATAAACTCTATGTAAAACATATAGCTTCCATGAACTGGTTTAATTAGTAAAGAGGATAATAATAACCAGATCCCATCCACATGGAAATATTTCTCGGTAGAATATGTAAGTAAGTATAGAAATCAAAAGGCATTAATTTGTAGGCATACATGTAAATAAATGAAACATATTTTTCATCACAATATTTGATCCTAGAAATGAAAATAAATTAAACTTCTTACTTGTAATTGAAATAAATTTGGAATGAGAATTTGAACCACATCCACAAACTGTGAATCAACATTCCCGCATTGCTGCAGTAGTCTTGACTGTCATGCATGGCTGCAATAGTATGCTCTAAATTCATAGTAGGAAACACAAACTTGACAGAATACTGACCAGGTTCATATATTGTATATTTGCTGAAGATGTTGATTGTAGAAGTTATGATAGCTTAGTTGATACAGTTGCAGGCTATGGGCCGGATGGCCCAATTTTGATCCCTAGCAGCGCAGGATTTTTTTTTTCTCCACTGCATCCAGACTACCTCTGGGTCCCACCCAGCCTTCTGTTCAGTGGGTACAGGGGGCTCTTTCCCTGGAAATAAAGCAGCAGATGCATGAAGCTGACCACTAACTTCTATCTAGTCTAGCTATCTGGTCTTCATCGTGTAGTGCTTAACTAATTAAGCACAGGGACAACTTTACGTTTTTAGGTGTTGAGGTGTAGTAGAGTTGTGCAGATTTTCATGCTTTCCCTACTGTATTAGTGTCAGACAGACAGAGCCCTGGGCTTAAAGAAACTCACTGCTGTTTTACCAGACCATGATACAGAATTGAATGAGAATGTCTGCCTGTCATATAGGGGACAGCCACTAAAACAGTAGGTACTTGATACAAAATTCCTTGGAATACATGTAGACAGTACACTGTCTTGGAAAATACATATTGAACAAATTATACCTAAATTAAATGCGGCTTGCTATGCGATGAGATCAATTAAGCCTTTTATGTCACAGGAAACATTGAAGATGGTTTACCATGCCTACTTTCATTCTATTATGAACTATGGATTAATATTTTGGGGGAACTCTTCACATAGTGTAATAATTTTTAAAATACAAAAGAATATAATAAGAATCATTACAGGATGTAGAAGTAGAGATTCATGTAGAGAATTATTTAAGAAATTAAAAATTCTACCGCTTCAATCGCAATACATATTATCGCTTCTCCTATTTGTTGTTTACAACAAAGATAAATTCAAATTAAATTCTGATGTCTATAACATGAATACTAGACAAAAATATAACTTCCACCTACCCTCATCAACTTTATCAGTATATCAAAAAGGAGTCTACTTTACTGGCATAAAAGTGTTCAACAATCTGCCACAAAGTATTAAAAACTTGGGCAATGATACTAAAAAGTTTAAATCAGAGTTAAAGAATTATCTACATGCTCATTCCTTCTACTCTTTAGATGAATACTTCAATGTAAATAGAGAATGATGTAAAATTAAGTTATATTAATTTTTAAGCTAAAATTGCCTGTACTTATGTATGTAACATTTTGACTTGTTCTGTATCCAAAGGTACTAACCTGCTTAGGATTTATAGAATGTAAATAAATTCAATTCAATTCAATACCTGTGTGATGTGATTGGTTACAGGCCAAGAGTGTGAACACAACAGCTTCAATTGGAACAACAGTTAATGGGAATGGTACATCAGCTGCACCTACAGCTTTGTACAGGCCCAACTTCAGCCAAGCCTTTCAGCGTGCCGCCGCTACAGGACCATATGCCAATCCCTTGTTCCCCACCCCCCCATTTGGTTCTGGGGGTATGATAAGCAATGGTGAGCATCACTATCTTTTGTTATGCATCATTCTTACTGAACAAACATAAACCAATGAAAGTGAATGGTGAGCAGAACAAGATGGATACCATCTTGGAATGTTATTGTGATAGATAGATCTGTGTTGTGCTCACTGTTGAAGAATGCAAAGAATTCAATATTGAAACTTTGGAACTATTGTGTGTCTATAAAGTGCATGCAGTAGACTCAATAGAAACCAGGAAATTGAAATTATTAAAGGAAATAATACATTCTATCAGTTTATTGTAACATATTATATCATCTTTGTCACATGAGACCTGTAAGATGGAATCTGAAATTTCCAAATGGAATTGCTCACCAGTACTTTTTATTGCATGCTGAAATAAACTCTTACAGAACCAAGGACGACCTAACACTGAAGTCTACCAGACAGCGGAAATGTAAGCTTTTCTATACAGAATCTTACAAAAAATCTGACTTAAAAGAGTTTAGGTATTGAAAAATGTAAGAAACAGACTTGGCTTGCCTCTGAAGTATTGCAGTATCTTTTTGCGCATAAAGGTGGAGATATTCTTGCTTTATTGGTTTACATGGTACAAAGTGTTGTGACTTGTAATATTAAATTAAATTATTTTAAAGAAACATATTTTCTTACAGGGCCAACAGATCTCAGCATGAAAACAAAACCTCTGCTAAGCCACAAGCTGAACACAGCAGAAATGGCGGCAGTGCGGCAACTTATAACAGGTTACCGTGAGTCAGCAGCCTTCTTGCTTCGTTCTGCTGATGAGCTTGAGCAACTTCTGCTTCAGCAGCAGTAAGGTGACCACAGTAGCTTGCTTAAATGGCAGTGAATACAGAAACAATGAAGCTAGAGGCTTAGTGACAGAGTGAGTTTCCTACACACATATTGAGGTGTTCTGTATCACTCCAACATTTTCTTGGTGATGTTTCTGAAAAAGCAAAGAACCTGCAAATTGAAGACTGAAATGATTCCTTCATTAGTGACAAAAACAAGTACACACATAACTGTCATATGTTTTTCTGCATTCGTGGACTGGTGCTGAAACGCGCTGCTTTCATCTCCACCTGATGCCATGTCACAAAATGCAGAATTGTTTAAAAGTCTTGAAGTATATTTGCAAGTGTGCTGGAAAGATCAGTGGTGAATCAGACAAGTTTAGAGCATCACAGGCAATGCACAGATGCGCAGTTATTCAGTTTATGACATAACAAAGTTCTCTATATGATGGGTGAATGGAAGTTGTCAGATTGAAGCACAAGAGAAGTTACATGATTCTAGGTACTGCCAGTCTCAAAACTTGTTGTTCATCAGCGAACTGTGATGAGAATGTGACATTAACTGTTCATGCCCAGTGGCAGTCAGCCTCCTCTTTCTAACCAGCAATTCCAGCATGGCATATTTTTTCATTTCATAGAAGCAAAGCTGTAACCATAACAAGCACACAGTTTTTCTTGTAAGATGAAAATGCATGTTCTTGATTCCATGACATCTTAAAAGAATGTGTCACCTACAGAAGGAGTAATTAATTTTTGCTGTAAGTTTTGTGTTTGTCTAGTGTTATTTTAAATTTTACTTCACATATATTGATAATAGGAGATACAAAAGTTCTGTGCTAGAAGTTTGTTTCTGTCTTTTCTATTACAATGGAATAAAGACATTTTTACTGTTTCTCAGAATAAATGTTGCATTGAAATTACGGATCCAAGACAAGACTGCATGTAAGCACTTACACATAGTATTCCTATGTAAAGTTTGATGGGCAAAGCCTTTAGAATAACACATTTATTTTCACATTAGAATAGTAAACTGGAGTTGCTACTGGACACATGTTGAGATGCGAATGAAGATCTAGTTCAATGGGTTATGTACCAGGGCTTGAAACTGGATTTCAATTTGGCCCCTCATATGAGCCCTATGAAACTATAACAAAGAGTAACTGGAGATTTTGTGTGTCTTTTTAATGATAATTTAAATTTTATTGGTGGAGCCAAGGGTGGAAACTAAATACATAAAATTTAACTGACGAATTATATATCAGTAGAAAATTTAACATTTATAAATATATATGAATTTAAAACAAATTAAAGTGAATATATATATATTTCAAATTGTATTTTTTCTCCTCTCACTTTCGTGTTGAAATGTGTAATTTTTGTAGTGGAAGTTGATCGTACCAAAGAGGGTGTACATAATTATTAATTATTAGCAGTGTTTTATAATAACTGGACCACATCTGCCATTCTGTCTATATATCTCTGTCCATGTACTGCAGTTCACTTCATTTTATAAGGAGAGGATTCATTATTTTCAGATGTGTGTATTCTAGTTTTCAAAGTACAGGAAAATGCTTCTGTTTGCAAGGTGCAAACACAAGGGATAAATAACAAAAGTGGATGTCCAGTGCAGTTACTGAAGCCTGGAGCTTACTTTCAGTACTTATTTTATTTTGCAAGGTGCAAGAATTGAGTTGAAATGAAACTTACGAAAGTGCAATTTTCTCATAACCAAAGAGGAACATTTATTAATAATTTGGTTAAAGTGCAGGATGTTAATTTCAAAGAAATGTACCCAATTCTTGTGGGAATGGGTGCTCTTGGATACAGTTAATGGAAATGGATTTGAGGTACTAGTCTCTTAAGACAAATTCTTGACCGTAGAATAAATGAATAAGATCTGCACTAATCATTATGAATGTTATTATTACAACAATATTTATCCGTTGCCCTTCTGTGGACAGTTTTTACATGTTATTTTTAAATGTCATTGTTAAAAATTTTCCAGTTACTGTAATGCTCTCATCCTGTACTTTCTGAATGTGCTTAAAATTACTTGAGTTTTTGACAGAAGTTGAATTAAAAATGCGACTTACATAGTTTAAGTGTTGGAAAGATGATTATATAAGGATACCGCCATATTAGTAAATATGCTGACACACGGGTGCCTGAGTGAACATGTTAGCAACAGTTACTTCAAAAGCTGTCTCATGTTGGTGTTCCAACAACATTTGCTGTAACTACTACATGTAATTTAGGTAGTTTGATGGTTGGTAATATTGAATTATCGTCATGACAAAGTGCTCTTCTTATGCAGTACTTTTTTTTTCAAGTAGATGTGACATAAATTATCTCCCCTGAAGAAATGCTCTAAAATGCGAATTTGAAGTAGAGTGTAAAAAACTTATTCTCTGATTATGGATTCAGCATATTAAACATTACAGAGTTATTTTTATGCAGTATCCTTGGCTGTTAATAACATTTTTAATGCCGGAGTGAAAAAAGATAAACATTTTAAAATGAGTTCCTTTTAGTGAATGTACGTATAGGTAGATCTGTATTTATTTGTTGGCAACAAATTTATTATATGTGGTGAGGCCACAAGTTTTTGGCAATGCCTATCACGTAAACTTTGTATAACTGCTTCATTCAATTCAATTCAACTGTCATATTTGCTGTATCTTTGTATGTAATGTGCTCAGATTTTAACAATGTTTTCATAGAACACCGGAGAAATTCTTCTACCATACATGTTTCAATAGAAGTGTGGACTGGTCCTTCCTTAAAGGAAATGTATTAGTACCTACTAACAATTATAAGACAGGCTATTATTTAAATTGTAGCAATTAGTCCACCATTTACAGCACTATTATGAAGTATTTGAGTTTGCACCCTACATACCAATTTAAATAAGACACATTTCTTCTACAGAATCATGAAGGACATAGCACTTCAAAAAGAAATAAAAGTCCCGTTATAACTATACCTCTAGACGCTTGCATATATTTGATTACTTACATTTATAAGTCCTATGCAAGTGCCTGTGTGAGTTGCTGTTTGCCACAGTGTTGAACTGAGCAGCTGTGGTAATTGAGAATAGATTTTATTTTGATGTTCTCCAAGTGAAATGTATGATACGAGATCACATACTAAATAATGCTCACAACTCTTACAGACTCTTGAAGTCTTGATACAGATACAAATGGACCAAGGACTTAGCAAAATAAAATTTCATCATTNCTTGAGTTTGCACCCTACATACCAATTTAAATAAGACACATTTCTTCTACAGAATCATGAAGGACATAGCACTTCAAAAAGAAATAAAAGTCCCGTTATAACTATACCTCTAGACGCTTGCATATATTTGATTACTTACATTTATAAGTCCTATGCAAGTGCCTATGTGAGTTGCTGTTTGCCACAGCGTTGAATTGAGCAGCTGTGGTAATTGAGAATAGATTTTATTTTGATGTTCTCCAAGTGAAATGTATGATACGAGATCACATACTAAATAATGCTCACAACTCTTACAGACTCTTGAAGTCTTGATACAGATACAAATGGACCAAGGACTTAGCAAAATAAAATTTCATCGTAGAGTCATTGCGCATTATTTTCTTCCATGTTGTTCAGGTCCTAAGAATATGGTACTTTGAAGTGTGCAATGCTGTTGGACTTTTCTACTTTACAATTATTCATTGAAATATATTTCTGGTTGGTGCTGTACTTAATTCTGAAGTAGCACAGAACAAACAAGATTTAAATTACAAGTATTTACCTGCATAATTTATGAGCAATACAAATTTTACATCTTTAAGTTGGGGAGATGATCAAAATTAAATATTCTTCCTAATTTTTTAGCTTTTTACTGCAGTTTGAGGTTGTATTGTATTTATTGCAGTTTCTTCTGCAACATATTCGCAATCAAAGCATCATTCTTTATTCTGTTGCTGAACCTTTGACATTGCTCTTCATCTTATGTGAGTGATTGTGGAAGGTACATGTTTAGACACTAACTAACACTGTAGTAGTGTAATGTCCATATCCAGACACTGGTCATGATCTTGAGCCAGTTCAATTCAGTTCACATCTTTATGATACATTTCCATAAAATAAGTTTTGATATTATCCTTCAACTCCTTAATCTTGAGAGTGGTAACGTGAGGTACCCCATCAAAGTTCTGCATATATTTATATGTTGTTAGACACACATGATGATACTGGACTTCTGAGGGAACTGTCAGTAGAGCACCGGATGTTAATGCAGTAGTGTAATACTGAGCGATATGGGTATTAAAAAGGTACTTACTTCTGATGCATATATAGGTGCATTACTTCAGACAGGTGTACAGTATAGACATGAAATATGTACAGAGGAACCCTCTTTAAGAAATTTCCCAGGGAACCAAACAATCCAAATGCCATATGTGAGAAAACATCTTAAAAGTGTAAACTCAAAATTGTGTAGGCCACACTAAATTCTGTTTGCCCCCAGTAAGTGATTTATGGACTTTTCTGTGGCTCACCATGCCTTTGTTCAGCATAAACCAGTGTGTTTATTAGTTCAGAAATGTTATATGTATTATGTTTGGATGGCTGCCTGCTTTTGTGATATCATTTCCCCCCCCCTCTTAATTGTTAATGATTTATTCCTGTTTTGCACCTCCTTCTTGCTCGTTGTTTATACCCAGTATGAAATAAAGACATTGAGTTGTTTCATTCACTGATACAATAGTACGTTTATGAGCTTTCAGTAATTCTCAACCAGCAAGTGATCTGGCATCACTCAAACTGTTGCATTGTTAACAAAATACAAACATTTAAAAATAACTGAAACAGAATCCTGAAACTTTCTTCCGAAATAAAGAAGATGGACAGTCTCGTAGGCTGAGCTCCTTTTCAGTTGTAGTGCAACATGAGAGAGAGGGCATCATGTTTGAATGACCATTAAGTTCTGTTGAGTTCCATGTGTGCATAAGCACAAGCCTGAAGAAGCCAAAACTCTCTAACTATCTCATGTAGCTGGGTGAACCTTGTAGAGTGAGCTTGGGGGGAAAAAGTCTGAAAGACGTAATTCATGGGTAAAGTTGGTAGTTTCATAATATAAGAGTCGCAGTTATTATGTGTGAAACATATTATAAGCAGACTGATTAGCTCTGTGGTGAAACTTTTGGGACCAAATAATTTAAATATTGTGACATGTAAATCCATTGCTAGGTAACAGCTTGTTGATACATCTCTGAGATTATGACAGAGGCATCAATTCCTAGGCAACACATACAGAAACGTTTCCATTACAACTGGTAGGTAAAGACTGTTCACACAACAATGAAAATTACGTTTCAGTGACAACTGCAAAAATAAAGACGTGTACCGTTGCACGGAGTGTTTCATATCCGATCTGCATGAAGCCAGCTTAGGTTGAGAGAATTGACCAGAGAGAATACAGAAGAGAAGAGATCATATACTGGAGAGTCCTTCTGAATAGTAGGAGCGCAGTCAAAGAAAAAGACAGGAGAGAGGGGATTGGGTACAGACCTGCTTACTGAATTCATACAAGGAGCATCTAAGGGTGGAAGTGTTGAAAACTTTTTATGTTATTGTTCCAGTAACCTTTTAAAGTGTTAAGTATTACATTACATTACATTACATTACATTACACTGCATTGCATTCCATGGATCCAAAGTTAGTCAAAATGACTGTAGGATGTGGAATATGTCATATAAATACAAAATGTATGTACAGACCCAATGGGGTTCTCACACAAGAGAAACCAAGAATACACAGGGACTGCACACAAGGCTGTGTTGTAGATTTGTAGATCCTCCTGGTGATTGTCCAATAAATTGATTTATCAATGCAGAGAACCCATTAATTACTTGTCCTTTTACCAGGATACATGACAGTATCTTGGAAAACAATTTATGTGTGAACCCCTTAGGGAGGTCCAGCTATCAGGAAAATTTACTTTCGAAATTTTTACACCCTAACTGTGAGATACTGTTGAAAAATGTTGAGTAAATTAAAAAAATAACATATTTTATTTGAATAAATTGGAAAAGGGAGTTTGATAAATTTTCAAGAAGAGCAAAGAAAAATACTTATCAGCGCATGTCTGAAGAATATGCATTTATCTGAATTTGTTTAACGCTGCAGTCGCTAACGCAGACTACTTAGCAGTAAATGATTTGATGACAGTGAAAAATGAATTGGAAGGGTTTGTAGAAGGGAGTGTAGTTCTGGCCTAATTTAAGCCCCTACTTTGGAATTTGCCTGAAGGGAATGTGGAAAACCATGAAGAGCTTACTATAGGATTCTGACGTTGGTGTATAACACACTGATATATTAAGTTTTTGGACTTTATCCATCGTCCTGGTTTGGTACATCGGTTTGTCCAGTGATTGAGGCTAGCTCTTTCAAACGGACCCAACAAATAGGTGTTTTCCTTCACCTGAGGACAGAAACAGATCCAGTTTCCGAAATGTTGTGTTTTTATTCGTTATCTTAAAAACCAGGACAACGGATAAAGTCCAAAAACCCAATATATCAGCATGAAGAGCTTCATGCGTAATAGTCTAAGCTGAAATTTAAGTAAGTCATTTCCTGAATTTGAAGCAGAAGCTTTAATAATTAAGCCAGCTTACTTGATTAAGAAAAGAGCACATGAAATTTGGGTGTCATAATTGAAAGTGACCTTCAGAAGCACATCAGTACTGTTATGAGTATATGACTGGTGTCACTAAACTTCCTATTTCATTTTAAATCTAATCTTTACGAGGGAACAGTAAACAGAATTAGAATTGATTTAGATATTAATTGCTAGGCTGAATGTTGTAAACAGATCGAGTCACAGTGAGAGTGAATTATAGAAACAAAAGTATTCAGGCCAATTTGTACTTTCATTTTATGTCATCCTTTTCACCACAGCTGTAAAGAATGATGCTTATATCAAAATTACAGAGTTCAGTAGGCAATTTCTAGACAGCACTTCAACTTGAGCTGTTACCTTTTCATCCTGATTTTCCTTTCTTGTTATATTTTTTACTTGTTCCTGCAGAGACTGGTAAAGAAGAAGCCTTTAGAAATCAGAGACTATTCTTATTAATGTTTTACTAGCAAAACACTCAGTTATTCTTTATTTTAAGAGCACAGAGGTACAATTAATACTGAAGTATAAAAAATAATTAAATGTATTCTTAATCATGTAATTAACTTTCTGGAATTTATGAAGTAAGGTCACATAATTAAATGTAATTTGTCTGTGAAACCTGCTCAATTTGAAGTTGCCTGACAAATTGTTTGCATACTGGTTGTTTCCATTGAGAATGCAAAAAAGGATGTTTCGTTACCCAAGGGTGTATGATTCAATATTATTCAACTCTTAAATGTGTTTCAAAATCAACACTTCCACTGGTTTCACAGAGGCAATGAATGTTGACTTTGCACACAGCAAGCACCATTACTTACTTGGATAATGAATTAAATAATTTTTCTGAGGTAGCAAAGTTGTAAATGTTACCATTTCATTTTGTAGGTGACAAAAATGCGAATTCTGTTTTTTCTTCTCAGTTCCTTTTCATGTGACCAATAGCATTATGAATATCTGTGGCAATGTGACTTCAGTAGTTCAACATCTCTCGCTCTCTCTCTCTCTCTCTCTCTCTCTGATCCTAGAATTACATAACTCATATAGACATTTTGAACATAGCTTTCTTCAGGATGTTATTCACATTTAAGATCTTAATCTGGAACATTTTTCATAATGTATCACAGTTTTTATCTGTAATCAATTCTGGATTTCCTGTATTTGGGCATGTTCATGCTGGTTTTACAAGAGTTGAATTATTCACTGTTTTCATTTAATGGCCATCAGAAAAAATATAGTAGTTGGATATCAATGAAAATCTGCATATAGCACTTTAGTGCCAAGAATATTTCTCTGAGAATTGTTTTTTTCTCCAGTATTTTAATTCTCCATCTGCATCAATTGTATGGACTTAATTTTGTGTATAAGCTTGAAAAAAAGTGATGTCACTTCTAAGTAAGAATATCTGATGACACTTCAAATATGTATTCATGGCATTCATGTGTTATTTAATGTGTGGAAGCCTCTTCACACTGAACTGACTTTGACTAGAGGGAGACTTGATTGCGCCTCCATCTGGCAGTTCTGTACTCCTGTGATGCACATTATGGAGTTGTA